ACAAGTAAAACCAGCAGAATACCACTGGCAGATGAGTGAAGGATTATTTGTTTTACAACTGTGGTCCAGGGTCTGCTAGCTTTGAAAGAAATGGAAACGTACATAGATTTTTCAATTCAAGTAAATGCATAGTATGCCCTGTAGCTTCGGATGCTTGACATCTCCCTTTATAGTCAGCTGTGTTTAACACTCAGACCTACTTAGAAGCTATAAAATATCTTAACACAATGTGAGATATATGCACGCTGATTGGGAGGTATTAAGCTATAAGATGACTAAATTCAAAGATGGGATTTCATTTCGTGCCATACTTCTGCAGACTGTAAGCCAGACTGGGTGGGAAACTGAGGGATTTATTTCAATTAAAAAAAACAGAAGTAAAATTAAAACAGAAACAGGACAAAGTAAAGGCTCTTTTTATTTTTCCATAAGGGGTTGAAAAGAGCCCTTAGGCCAGGGATTAAACTATGTGGCTGTTTCGAGGGAGACGACAACTAACCGTAGCCCAGTAGAGCTCCGATCCTTCTAATCTACAGAGGGAGAAAGGCTCTTCTCTCTCTCTCTCTCTCCAAAAGGGTAGACCTAATTAGGCTCCTAATCTGCACTACCCGTGCCCCTATGAATGCTGATTTTTTTACCTAAAATGAGAACTTGGGAGAAGAAAAATGTCATGGCCTGGTACTTAATCCTGAGTTTTCAAATGGGAAATGTAGGAATGGCTGAGTATTCAGTTAAGGCTGTTTTTTGGCTTAGGCTGTTTTCCACTGTGCAGGGGTCTTATTGCACACGGCTCTGCAAGTACCGTGACTCAGGCATTTACTTCTCTCTTTTTTGAAATTTCAAGAATTCACATCTGGGGAGGTGGGGGGGTTCCTACTCTTAACCCTATTTCTAGGCTAATGGCCAAGCTGCTTAATGGAATCACAATGCCAGAGATGTTGTCAGAACTGTCAGTAGAAATGGCCAGTTCAATATTTTCCATATTCTATTTTGGGGGGGTGGGGGGGAGAAGCTGAATTTTTTAATTTTAGATCCTTGGATCAGAGCACTACATCTTTCAAAGTTTTCTCCTACTAGTAAGAAATCTTTTTTGAGAGAAAAAGGGCTGGAGAATTTAAGGAACAAAATCAGAAATTTCCTGTATACCAACATAACATTTTTCAATAGTTTTCTTTTTTTCCTCATCAATAAGCCTTACAAAATCTGACATTTGCTTGCAAGAACAGCTGAGCAACATTGATCCGAACCATGCATTTATTCTAAACAGTGGATTAGATCCTCATATGCTGCGTAGTCCTCTGAGCTTCAGTGGAAAAGCACTGCTTCACCCCGGTGGAGCAACTGCTCCAGTAAAACTGTCGGTATTGATTGGCTCTGTCAGCTTCCATCTTTCTTCCAGCTCCAAACCTCCACTTTTATTATTATTTTCAGTGTGTGGGAAGCCACATAGTAGCAGACTATCTCAATCTTGCTTTTGAGCCAAATTCAACACATCAGAAAGGGAGTTCAACAGGGCAGTACATTCACTTTGCAGCGACAGCCAGGATGTCTACTCGTGCTCTTAAAGGCCCTACTGATCGATGGACAGAAAGGCTCCAGAGGGCCAGCAGTGAGATTTAACGTATGTCTAGACTCCCATTTTCTCCTTAATTTTACTCCCATGTTACTTTGTGATGTGTGACGCTTATGTAAAGAAATTGAATAAAAACTGTAGAGTACCTCTTCAGTTCTAGCAATTTAGAGTGAAAACAATTTATTCAACTTCTACCTCTGTAAAAAAGAACCGATGAAATGGTTGTCACCCAGTGATCTTCACTGGAGTTTCTCTCAAATTGTGGCCAATAACAGCTGATTCAACTTTTACCCTTTAGTAGGGTTCACATGGCTGCTTTATTTTGTATCTGTACAGAAAGTCTTAACTCTAATAAAAAAAAATTCATGCTCTCCAAAAACATAGTGCACGTACCGGCCTCTCAGCTAGTGTTATGCGCTGAACAATGCTATTGCACAAGAGATTTAGGGCAGCAAGCAGCAGGTGAGAGGCACTGCATTTATATTTTAATTAGCTCATGCTAGGAGTTTCTTCAGAGGTAGGTTATCTAACCACACAATTACTATTTGTCCACCTACATCATTAAAATTGTACTCATGTCCCTCAGTTTCAAGGACTCTGTACCTCCTGCAAATGATATTGCTAAGCTTGCATAGAAATAGCTATTTCGAGACAATCGTAAATGATGATTTTTTAAATCTGTTGAGCACTGATGGTAATTATAGAACTTTAGCAACTGGAGGTAAAAGTTAGGGAAAGTATTATTTTAAGATACAAAATATCCTCCAGAGCTTGTCTGATTTCATTAATTTTTCATCATTTGCAGGCTTCTTCAATACATTTTCAGTGACTGCGCTCTTTTTCTAGCAACAAGATCACCAAATGTCATATTCAGTGAAAAACAAATCTGCTGTATTCTTACCCTGTTCTGTGTCACACTGATTATGTTAATAAGAATAAATATTTTTGAATACATACATATATCTCATTTTCTCTGCAGTGAGAATACATTATAGTACTTCAAATGTTTATTATTTCTAGAAACAATATATTGAAACAATGTGAAAAATGTGCAGTAAACTATTCGTATCGGTTTAACTTCTGAGCTACTTCACTAACATAGGTAAATGCATGTTGCAGAGGACCTTCCATAAAGTGAATGGGGAGACTTTCCTGAAAATATAGTAAATTGGCAGAGGGTTTCTGGTAATTTCCCTCTGTTGACTCACTTTCACCCATTTGTTAATGCTGGGGAACATTCGATCCCTTCTTTGTTTCTGGAGGATTCATGCACCTGCCAGGGCTGGTCCAGAGCACTCTGGCAGCTTAATGAGCAAAAGGAGGCATTCTGGTAGAAATACATTTACATTTATGCAGTAAGACACTTATCAGAGCTGACAGCCGTGTAATACTGGAGCTGCTGATGCTCCACACAGGGTATATTTTCCTACTGAAAAGAAACTGGAACATTAATAAGATATTAACGTTGTTAATGGTGGATGTGGGCACTTTCACGCTGGAGTAACCCTCACTCAAGCAGATAGTCTCACTCAACTGAAATAGGCTGCTTCACTAGGGACAGTCCCAAAGTAAGGTCCTAATGTCATGCAAAGAAAACTCTCTTTTAAATTTTCATCATGTTAGATCCTTCCAATTCTTATCCACGTGGGTAAAAAGAGTTTGCAAGATTTTGCCCTAATCGTATTCCTAAAAGAGATCAGTGGTTTGGGTTTTTTGTTATTGTTTTGTTTTGTTTTTTTCCCTCTGTTATAGAGTTTTGTATAGAGCTTCAGAATGTGCTTCTTGTCACTTTTAAATCAGAGAGACTGTAGTTATAAATTCTGAAAAGAATGCTTGAACACTTGAATAGTTTTCTAAATTAAAAATAAGGGATTCCTGGCAGGCATCCTACCCCAGTTTACTCAGAATATGGACTTTATTACCCCAGTGTCACTGATCGTGATTGTAGCTGCACAACAGACATAAGACAGAAAACAGTCTTATGTTGATGACTGAGACACTGAAAATGAGTTCTTTCATGACTAATTTATTTTAGAAAGGGAGACAATGTTATTCATGCCATATAAATGACTTAGAGAAATAATGCTAATGGCATTGGACATTCAGAAACTTATTATGATAATGCAAATCTTGAATAATTTTTAAGTAAGAGTTCTGCAAGTTCCACTATTACGCTTGATATGACTATAAATATCATAACAATCTCCTGACAATTTTTCCCTTTCTTTTTCATGAAATTCATCATACAGAGAAGAAGTACTCAGCCATTAAGATGTATTGTACCATATTTAAATGATTTTGCAGGGCATCAGAAGTACTTAATTTATAGCTTTTATAATTACAACTGGGCTACTACTACAGTACTGGATTCTTAAACCAATAAGGATTCTTAAACCAATTCTGTTTCTGAACCTGAGAAAAAACTTCTTCCAGCCTATACACCTCTGGCTCTGAAGTAGATTGCTAGATGAAAGAGACTAACCTTTCTTACAAAAAATAAGAGTCTTTGCCTTTGGGATATTTTAATCTAGTTTTTATTCCTGCTACAAACTACACATGCTAAGCAATCACAGCATGCAACATAAAAATTCCAAGGAAGGATGGCTCTGCTATAATAGGTGATATTCCATTTCAAATATTTCTTAACTGGAGAAGGTACAGTGAACTGGATCTATGGGCAACTAATACATTTGAAATGCTGAGTGATAATTTTTGCCTGCAACCTTCTTCAGAACTTTTATGCTCCTCCCTCCATAGGGCTAACACGTTTTATGTTTGTAAAGTATACGTACATGCAGTTGGAGCGATAAGAATTGAAATAGACTACTGTGAGAATGCAAGGTGTAAAAATCAAAGGCATTAACGTGTAACTTCATATTTTACTTGGTTTCTCATCAGTTGCTCAAAGTGGCTAAGGATCTGGGAGATAGCATGACATTTCTTGTGTAACATATACCTAACAGTGAATCTCTTCCTTTACGTACAAAACAGCGGATGAAGATGAAGAAAGTCTGACACATTCCCCTCTATATTACTAAAATTGGCAAAGGAAGTACCTGATTTTTAATGCCTCACAGAATGAAATAGCATTTGTTAAACTCTTACAAACTACCATTTAGAGAAATGGGAAAATCTTCATTTTTATTTTGCCTTCTTCCTCATCAAATATTGGAGTGGGAGTGATTTTTTCTCAAGCATACCTTTTCTCTTATAATAAAAGCTTTCGTAAGGTCAAAATACAGATCAGAGCCTCCCCTCACCTAGCTCTACTGGTATCTGATTTCTCACTTTGAATTCCTAAGATCGTTTCTGCAGCTTCCATTTCCTCCCTCCCCCAAAACTGTGAACCAAGACTTGGTTACACATGTAAAACATCGAGCACCCGAAACATATTCAGCCCAAGGAAAAAAGCATGGTAGTGAATTACCTTAAATTCAGTTTCTATGTTGGCTAGTCTGGCCAATTCATTGCTTAGCTCTAAAGCAGTAAGGACAGGATCTTCACTGGAAAGAGACAAATAAGCGGCACTGGCTAATCCTTTGTAGGCATTCATTCTCGATCGAGAGTGACTAAAGGAATCTTTCCTCTGTTTCTCAACACATTCGTTGCACTTGCAAAAATAGTCGTGTGGTCTTTCAATCCGCGCACCTTTTAGAAGCAAGATATGGACAATTTCATACTCCTGGCAATGGGCAGCAAGTATGATAGGGGTAATGTCATGGGAGAACCGAGTTCCATCTTCATCATAGGCATAAAAATCATCATCTCTCAGTTCCTGCTCAAGGGGGCTAAGTGTGAGACGCTGCCCTTGTGCAAAGGCTGGATGGTTCAATATTGCTTCCACAATGCGCACATATCCTTTGCTGATGGCTAACAAAAGTGCATCCCCAACTCGAGCTAGATTCTCCTTTTTAAGGAGGAGTTCTGTCACTTCCAAATGCTCATTCCCTACTGCCAACTGTAGGGCATTCTGTCCCATGTAATCAACACAATTAAAGTTCAAGGTTTTGGATTCCTCCAGCATTTTTCGCACAACAGGAATGTTGCCATATTCTGCAGAATCCAGAAAACGTTCCTCTTCTGCAGTCAGGCTGGTGCCTTTCTCATTGAACATGTAGGCTGGGCCCCGGATGGCCTGCCTCCGGCCCTTCTCCCGAAGGGTTGTGTGCCTTCGATGCATGTTTTTATAATTACTGTTTCTCAACCTGTAGTAAAACAGAAAGGATGGCTGGTTATACTCTTAGAAATTCATAATCTCACATAACCTGAAGTAACATCGCGTTGGGATCCTGTCTTGCCAGCTTTGTAAGATCTGAATCACGTTTTAAAAATCTTTTAGGGTACGTGTGGAATACAGAAGAGGAGTTTTGCTGAACAACAGCCAAATTCTCTTCTGACTTTTATACCCTAGGGATACCCTAGAAGACTCTTAACTTGGAAGCAGGCAGAAAACAATTTGCACGAACACCTTGTTTTCCATTTTCGTTTGTTGGAACTTCATTATGTAGCACCTAGGAATGGTGTTCACAACATAATAGATCTCTTAACTACTATGTTTGGGCTTTATCCTTGAGGAGATGAGGTAAGCTAAAGAAAGTTGGTGGACTCTCCATTTCAATAGACTTCAGATCAGGACCATAAACTATGTTCCGTAAAGTTAAAAAGCACACATCTAACTTTAAACAAACAGGTTCAATTCACGCAATTAAATTCCGTGGTATTGAATTATGGCCTTAGACCTACCTTAGGTTGTATTCATCTGTGCAAGGGGAGATTCTGATGTTACATATGACAGGGATGAATGTACTATAAATTCTGCTAAGTTTCAGCTGCTAGAAAGACACAAATACATTCACATCTTGTTCTCAGGCTACATAATACCTTTTTCCTGTTTCCCAATCCAGAATAATTTAATTAGTGACGGTCTATTTTTCTTTCTGAAATTCGTTTACCAGCTACTCTAAAGATAAGTTCTCAAATCCAGGGACTACTCTTATAAAACACTGGTGTAACTCCTGATTTGGGCTCCTGCCACTCTCAAGCTAGCAGCTTTTGGAGAGCTGCTGCAGGAAGACAAGATGATACATATCTGACCACAAACGGAAGGCAAAGGTATGAATGGATCGGAAAGGCTCATTTAGTTTCTCCATTGATTGTGAGGGTGAAATAGCTTTACTTGGAGTTGATGGACACAAATTATTCTTCTTATCCCATCTTCTCTAGAACCCTCAAAGAAACCTATGCTATATGCAGCTGGAGCTCACAGGGGAATTAGACACCAAGTTTTATGAAATTAATTGAAATTCCAAATCCCTCAGTGTTTTTGAAAGATTCATACTTTGCATTTATTGGCTGTTCACTCTTATTCTTCTTCTTTATTTTATTCTAGTAGCATCTCAACAAAACCATAGACCTTCTGTGTTAGACCTTAAGCACACGGAGTAATTCGCCTTCCAAGCCCAAAGAATACACAGCCTGAGCAAAAAGGAAAAACAGCTCCCCATTTTCACATGCACTTGTACTAAATGCAATGGCAAATTCTAAATCACTTGGGTAAAAACTTCCAGAGTCTCTAAACTGCAGTGGACACATGTAACAAATAAGCAGATTGATAATGCTAGGTGGGCGGCAAAGGTTCATCCTTCTATATTCCATCTGCTCTCCAAGTCAGTTTTGACCTTTAGTCAATGAAAAGTTCATGTGTCGCTCTGCAAAAATACTGTGGGAGTTTGAAAGAGTTGCCATGAATAATGAGAGGTAAAGGTGCCAGGACACAATATGGAGAAGATATAATGCCTTCATGGATATGTTCTTCAGGAGAAAAGAATAAAGGAAGCAGGAAAAAGGCAGAAAAACAGTTCCAGAAGGAATACTCAGAGTTTAAGGACACAGAAATTCTCAAGGTGTCCTTCATATGGAAAGAGATATATACACATATATCTATATATATATATGTCTTTTTAATTCATTGCTTTTTCACTAATCTAGAGCAGAAATTAGTCCTAAAGAGAGCTTCTTTTGATACAAATCTTACAGCAGCTTTTTAGCAGCTTTATTAAAATCTAAACAAATATCGAGAAAGTAATTTTGTGACCATAGAAAGTTGAAAGTAAGGTTCATAATGAAGTAAGAACCTCTCTCAGTAAGCAGTAATGCATCAATAGAGCAACTTAATAAAAAGTGGAAGCAATTAAACTTATTATAACATACTCAGCTCAGAGACAAAGTGCAACATGACTCTTAAAACTGATCCATTCCAGTCAGGAGAAAAGTTCAGGACGTAGGCACAGATTAGGGATGGAACGATGATGAAGGAGATGTATATTAAGCAAATTCATTCCTAAGGTTGCATAAAGTTTTCTAAAAGAGAAAACAGTAACAGCTACAAAAATTGGATCATTAACATATCTGACACTAAGATGGAGACCAAGGTCTCTAAAGCTGCAAAATGCCTGGGGTAAAATTGGGACCCTTTGAAGTCAGCTGCAGAAGTGCCATTTATTTCAGCGCAGCCCACATTTTACACACACACACACACATACACACACACACACACACCCTCATGCACTCACACTCTCACACATCGCCCCCAGCAGTTAACTTTCATCTTACAAGCAGTCCTAGAGAGGTCAACAGGACTAACACATGCTTAAAATTAAATATTTAACCATATGCAAAAACCCTTATCTAAACTAGGGCTCATATCCTCAGCTATTCAGGACAGCCTTTAAGTTTTAAACTTTTACTGAAGTCTTAGTGAATTCAAGCAAGGACAAAACAGGTAAGCACTTTTCTTCCAAACTGTGGCTTTGTTCAATGGGGACTTAGGGTACCAGAAAGTACTTTAAAGTCTTGGAATTTCTTGGATGTTAAATAAAACCTCTAAAAATGTTAAACACCTCAACGGGAAGAAGTGGTGGTAGCTCAGATCAGCTGTTGCTGGGATCAAGTGGAAAGTGATCAAGCTGCAATAGTGGCTCAGTGGTGACCCGTGAGAGTGGCAGGTACTCAGGGCTAAATATTGCACGGCACTTTGTTGAACTTGCTGCTTCAGTCGGGGGGAATTCCACGTGGCTTGTTGAAGTTCTAAAGTAAAAAATGTTTATGTTCTAGAAATGTTGTATAGTAAGGTATTTGATAAGCTTATATCTGTTGTTATATTTAATGGTTAGTACTGGAAGCAACTCAGAACTATGGAGCGCTTCCAGCAGACAGGAGTCTATTAGGTTTTGCTGAAGAATGGCTGGTTTCTAAGTGAAGTTTGTGGTATTTGGTTTTTTAGAAAACTTTTCTCTCCTGACCTATTGCCATCTATAAATGAGAACCCAGGTAGGTGAGAAGGATAATCTTATAATCATAACCTACTTGCCTCAACACACATAAAGTAACATATAGCTATATAAAATGATGAAATTATATAAAATTTTACCATTGGACCAGTTCTACGAGCTTTACCTGAAGAAGGAGGTTAGAGTTTGGCCCAGAGCTAATTTACACCCTTCTGTTGTATATATAAATATACATACAAATATATGTTGTACATGCCAAAACAAGGACTTTCATTTCACTTTCCTCAATTTAGAGGGAACACTGATTTCAAACATTATTTCTAGCAACGTAAACTGCATCAGAAAAAGAGGCAGCAGGAAAATATAACTTTGGACCAAAAAATTAATATAAAATATTGTGCAGATTACAGATGTTCTGCAGGGATGCCCTGACAGCACAGACAGTCTCCACTGCCTGCAGGTAAGGGCTGTAGCATTGTAATTCAGAGGGCTTCATCTCAGAGGACTTATGACCCCTAGTCTTTTGCATGAGCAGGGAAGATCAATATCTCAGCCACTGCACTTTATCATCTTTATAGAAAGTAGGAGATGAATAAAAAATTATACTTTTAACTGTGAATAATTTCATGAGAAATGTTCAGCTATCAACTCCTATTCTAAAAAGAAAGTTATAATTACGTTTGACCTGAGCACTGAGTCGTGCTAGAGAAGCAGCAGTGCAAAGAGTAATATATGCAGTAGCAGAAGATCTTGGAAACTCGGCCACACTTTAATGTCATGACTGTACTCGGCACCTTTTTTTATTCTCCTTTTCCGTTATGCGCAGGCAGTTTTAGAACTAATCATATTTACTGAGCTTGTGTAATATCTCCTCTTAAAAAATGTAATTGTAACTTGATCGCATTTATCTTACCATTTTTGTTTAAAGGTGTTTTGCATTGAAATGATTCTGTGTTTGCATATTTTATTGAGACAGCTAGTGATCAAACTCCTCAGGCACTGCAATTAAATATTACATTTTTCTAGGAAAGAATGCCAGTGTATGCAGTGTCATCAGAGAGAAAATGTTCTGGGAAAAGAAAACCAAAAAATTCATGCTCTAGGTACTGTTCACAGCAATGTGTATCCAGCTGTAAACAGCTCAGGTGGCCATAAGATGGCTGGACTCCTGCGGTGAGTGAAGCAGAAAGGTGATCACCTGTGAAAAGTGATTTAGCCCTTAACAAGTCATCCTCTGAGGAGCATCTGAGGCTCCTAATTACAGTAACTAGCAGTAGGCCCTTGTGATATCTACTGAGGGTAGTAGGAGCTGAGACTGTCAACATCTGAAAGGGGAACAGGGCATAACAGGAGATTTGTTCCTGCTGTGGTGCCCCTGAAAATACTACTGAAGCTGAAAGTCTCCATCTGAGTGCCAGACATGCAGGACTAGGGAGAAACAGGGAAGAAATTGCTTGCTTCATATTGAGCCTGCTACAGCAAATTCCCTTTGTCCTCTGTACTGCTTTCCACAGGCTCAAGCCCCTGCTATGCAGACCCTCTGCTGCCTCTGTAGAACCACGCAGCACGTCCCTGCACAGTACGAGAGCATCTGGAGAGGCAGAGCTGCTACCTAGAGCTCAGGCTTCAAGTAAACATTCAAAGGCCTAAATTGTCCCTACACTTAATTTTGAACCAGAATCTTAAAAGCATATAGGACAGGTTGAGTCATGTCTGCTAGAGCTCTTAAAACATTTAAAGCCTGAATATGTACAGAAATCAATGGGTATTAGGTTCTGGAAGTATCAGGAGATGCCAACTTCTACATGCCTAAGAGTCTAAAAATTGAGAAGGGCAAATTACAAATGCAGCTTTAGAACTTGTGTTCTCCGACCACTTCCTGGGACTCCTGTCA